TGTACAAATGTACTTTACACAATTGATGTATGTATGGATTATGATAAGAGTTGTATGAGCCCCCAATAAAAGGATTAAAAAATTATCACTAAAATAAAGAAGAAGCAAGGATGGAGAGACTTCCTCTCACGTACTTTGGACTCTTGTTATCGGGAGTGGCATCAAGCTTGCTAAAGTGAAGGGGCAGAGGAAAGGAGGAAGGTCCCCAGCAAGACGGATTGACTAGTGGCTGCAACAGTGGGCTCACACATAACAACTGTGAGGATGGCACAGGCCTGGGCAGTGTTTCGTGTGTGTGTGTGTGTGTGTGTGTGTGTGTGTGTGTGTGTGTGTAGGGTCACTGATAGTGGCATCTAATAATAACAACAACTGCATGTCAGGTAGTCTTTTGGCTGAGATGGATGGATGTCTAGGAATTGTGAGTGGGTTAGTTAGGAAGGTGCATTCTAGGTAGCTGTGTGCAAAGTGACGGCCTGTCTAAAGGCACATATGAAAGCACCAGGGGGCTCTGGGGAGAGAGGCCACTGGGAGCAGTCAGAGGAGAAGGATTGAGCTGCACGGGGATAGGAAGTGAAGCTGAAGTTCACAGCAGACATTATAAACTGGCTCATTTAACACCCATTTCGGCGACTGTCCACTGCCTCCCCCTGTTTTATAGAGGCAGGAAAGGGAAGCACTCGGTTTTCCTAGACATGTGAAATCATGAGACAGGAAATAGGGCATTGGCTAGGACTGGCTTGTCTTCTAGACAGAAAAAGGAAATCCTTGCGAGATGAAGCCTCCTTTGGCCTTTCTGCTTTCCTCTCGCATGACAGTTGGGTTTGAGGCAAGATCCTGGTCCCGGGTGGCAGTACTCAGCAGGGCCAGGACTGCGTCTCTCTGACTTGTGTAAAGAAATGGCCAGCTGGCAGGCTTCGCCATGCTTAGAGCCAAAGGCATGGCCAGCTCCTATCGGTGGGTCACAATGCCAGGATCACAGAAGGCCTGGACGGCTCTGCACAGGAGTCATGCAGCAAGCATAGAGAACAGAATTAGAGGTTGGGAGTAAGTTAGTAAGTATGTTTTAGTCACACAGACCTTAGTTCACACCCCTGTGCAGCCAGTTACTCACTGTGAAAACTTGAGGTGATTCATTACCCTCAGTCTGAGAGCGCTATGAGGCAGAGACTCAAGAAGTCTTCTTTCAGAACCCAAACCATCAAGTGCGTTGGGGAGAAAGGAGGAGGTGGAGTGTGGAGCTCCAGTAAGGGCTTGCTAGTGCTCTGCCCGACCAAGGAAGCCTTAGCTAAAGATTCAGAAATAAGGGCTCATGAGGGAGTGGGGAGCGGGGAGGGAGGGGAAAAATGAGGACCTAATGTCGGGGGTTTAAGTGGAGAGAAAATGTTTTGAGAATGATGTACAAATGCGCTTTACACAATTGATGTGTGTATGGATTGCGATAACAGTTGTATGAGCCCCTAATAAAATGTTTAAAAAAAAAAAGATTCAGAAATAATTTCAGAACTTAATGGGGGCAGGGGGTAATAGAATGTGCTGGATGTCATCAGTTTTCTCTGAGACGTAGCCTTTGTGACTAAATGTCTTACAACAAATTGCTCTAAAATTCTTCCGAAGAAGGAAGCCTTTTCATACTTTATACATTTCTGTAGAATCGTGTATTATCCTCAGAACACCAGGAAGAGTCTGGAAATAATTGGTGAGACTAGCCCGGATGGAAGAAACAGGTCATTTCTGCCTCATTATTCCATGCTAGTAGCTTTAACAGTGCTGTGGAACCTGCTGTTAATGAAAGTGAGTAGAGAATTTAAATGTAAGTCAGTTTCTCTTAGGTCCACTTCGACGTGCTAATGGCAGTGCTAATAGAATTCATCTGTAAAGCTGGGGCAGGTTGAATTAAACCAAGGAAGGAGGTGGCATGATTTAAGAGACAATGAGACAAGTGGTTGCCCCCAAATATCTAATTATATTTTATTTTGTCAAGGATGCTTGAAAGTACTTCATCCAGATTATTTATCCTGAATAATAAATTATTCGGCAGGAGTAGGAGCTGTGGATTTTCTTCATTAACAGCTGGCTAAGGAGGGCAATCTGATACTCAAACTTTCACAGCCAGTAACGTGCTGGGCTGGAATTAAAGGAACTGTGGCTGAAGAGCTGTACTTTCACCCCCTCACTGATACTGTCTTCCCTCTGTTGGCCCAAGCGGCCCTGCAAACACACACGCTTTGTAGGTTTACATCGTCAAGGTGAAGCCTATGAGCTAGGCAGCCAAATAGGACCTGAGGACACTTCTGAAATGTCCCCTAAAAGAAAGCTGAGTCACTGTGAGGTTGAGCCTGATCATGGTTTTGTGGAAGGATCTTTGAGCCCCTGGCGGGCAAAGGAGACACGTTTAGGAATGAAAAAGGGTCTTCATTAGACAAAAAACCAAAAAAACCCAAAGATGCCATAATCTAGCAACCTTTCTGACACTGGGAAAACCATGAAGATGGGATGGACACATCTTTTTAATGTGAATAGTATATGTCCACTCAGGGATAGCCCAAGGCTTTGTTGGGGTAACTGGCCTACAACTTGAGGCTCTCTTGCTTAATGACCATATGCTCTGAGAAGAGCTGTGGAGAACCGGAAATGTTCAGTTCAAAACACTACTGACCAAAGTGCTTGAAGGCTTAGGTTCTGAATCAGGCGGTGTTATTAGCTGCTGTTCGATGGCGAGCCTATGAATGAGAAAGCAAGCAGGCTGACCCTCCTCTATCCCCACGATTGGCTGTGGATTGGACCGTTGGGAACCATACTCAGGGTTTTTGTTGGATTATTTTCAGAAGTCTATTTCCAGGCCTTTCTTCCTAGTCTATCAGTCCCGATGCTCTGCTGAAGCCGATTTAACATGATAACATCATGTAAGGCTTCGCTGATGGATGATTAGAAGCTGGGAGGGGGGTCCACTGGCCAGCAATCCAGCTCAAGTCTCCTGCATCTCCCTGTCTCGACTCACGGGAGGCCAGAATTCTATCACTGCCTTCCTCTGAGCCAGATGAAGAGTCTATTATTAGGGCTACAGTGTGGAGCTGCATTGAGCCATTTCCTGGTAGCTCCCTTTGGGACAAGATCCCTGAGTTCAAATTCAGAGCAAGGCTCCCTCTGACACCAAGAGAAACATGGATTGGCAGATGTGTTTGGGGCCCGATGCCATGAGGGACTGGCCCATGTGCTGGTCCATAACCATGCAGGTTTTCTCCAAATTGGTTCTCCCCACTTTGTCACCCGTGCTACTTTCCAAGCCCCCGCTGCTCACCTCTGCCTGCCAGATGGGGTTCACCGTGTTGCCTATAATCTTGGACCTCCTTTCCTGTCCGTGGTGCGGGAGGGCAGGGAAGATACTGTGCTTCCCTGGCTGGATGGAAATTTTCAGATAAGGGTCGGGGTTGAAAAACATCCCTTTCTTCAGCCCCATGGCCTGGAAATCTGAAAGAAAAAAGAAAAAAAAAGCATGTTAGCTAGGCTAAAGATCAATTGGATTTTCCACAAGAAAAGCCTATTACAACATGGAAAATCCTTTAATCGATGGACCCTGTCCCTCATCTTCTCCGAGGTGCGATCGTGTCCGTTCTGATACAGCCACCCTATGTACAACAGAACGAAATACGCCTCGTCCGTTCCCACCCTCACAATGGGTGCTGTGTGGGAGCCTATCATGGCACCCACTGCGTCAGTCCATCTCATTGAAGACTTCTCTCGTTTTTGCTGCCCCTCCACCTTCCCAAGCACGCTGCTCTTCTCCAGGGACTATTTTCCCACACCATTGCGAACACAGACCCATTCGCTGTAGTCACTATGTGGAGCACAGACTGGTGTCACTGTTGTGAGGTGCTGCTGACTTGGTTCTGACTCAAGGTGACCTTTCGTACAACAGAGCGAAACACTGCCCCCTGTCCTGTGCCATTCTCATCATTGTTGTCTTTGTGCCCATTGTTACAGTCACTGTGCCAATCATCTCATTAAGAGTTTTCCTCTTTTTCAAGGATGCTCTGCTTTGCCAAGCCTGATATCCTTTTCCAGGGGGAGCACGGCCTGGCATATCGCAAATTGTGCTTTGATGAGAAGTCAGTCCTGCCGGAGCTGGTGTGACCATGCGCTTTGTGAAAGGGCTTCACGGGACCTCCAGTGTTTCCCCAACGTTTCAATGAAGGTCGGATGCGAGAGGCTAAGGGTCACCTCAGGAAAGGTGAATGGATCCAGAGAGAGAATCCAACCGACATTTCATTGGGATGGTGTGTAGAATCCCTTTGTGAAGTAGAGGCATAAGTAACACAGGGCCTGGAGTTGCACAATGCATATGATCTTAATGGAACAGGAGAGAGAAAATTGGAGAAAAGATAGAAAAAACTGAAAGGAAGGGACACAGCAAAAAGTCAGGGCAGCGGGGGAAGAAAAACCACCACCGTGTGGACTCCACAGCACTAAATGCATGTCAGTGAGGACAGTGGCGAAGCCATGCTGTCTGAGAGGAAAAGACTGCGAAAGCTAAATGGTTCTGTTTATTTCAGTCATCTGACATGCCCAATTTTTATGCTGCGAATAAAAAGAGAATAAGATCGTTTATGGTAGAGGCTTATAGCTAGTCTGGGATAGTTTGAATTTCTTTTATGTTTATTGGAAACATGTATGACATCAAGGAATATCCTTTAAAATGTTTCTATTTAAGTATTTCCACCCAAATATCATCATGTATAAGTGAAAAAAATAAGGAATGCTACCTTAAATCAGCAATGCTTCACCACTGTATGTCTAAAGCATGAGGTGTTTAAGTAACTTGTTCACTGATGAAGAAGTACATTCATTTTTATGTGAGTATATGTAAAAGTTATTTTGGCTTGATTCAAGGGCATCTTCATAGGACAATAATTCTTTCCCTTTTATATTACAATATATTGATATAATGGGTAGAAGAGTGTACAAAGTCCAACAACCATTATAGAATTTTGCAAAACTGAAGTTACACCCACAGTTATGTGTGCAGAAGAGTGGATAGCCATTTGAGAATACTCTCCATAGAAAGGCCTACTGATAAGGGTCACCCTTAGTTAGTGTCTGGTAACATAGATTTCAGGAGGGTTTTGCCTGTTTCCAGAACTGCCTAAACTGTCTGTACCATGTGGTTTGTGCTGAATGCCTGCTTTCTTTCTGGGCAATAGGGATCTTGCTACATGCAAAGCACAGGTGACCACACGACTCAACCCAAAACCCAAACCCACTGTCATCAAATTCATTCCAACTCGAAGCAACCCTATATGGAGTTTCTGAGACTGTAAAACTCTATTGGAACAGAGAGCCTCATCTTTACCCCTGAGGAGTGGCTGGTGAGTTTGAACTTCTGACCTTTCCATTCACAGTCCAATGCCTACCCAACAAGTACTGTGTGACTAACCCTCAGTAAACCTGGGGCACTGTACCTTAATCTTTATCAATATTTCTATTTTTCTTAAAGGTTATATTTTTAAAATGTAAATCACTGGCAGTTAAAAGGTGAGTACTTCCTCAGAAAATGCACTGCCCTCCATAAATGTAAACAGATTTGAAAAGCGAAGCATTAGCATCAGCAATCTTGCTTTGATACGTCTATCATAGTTTTGGAGCTTTCCCAGGAAGGTAATTCTGTAATCTATGTGGTAATTTCTCGATAAATAAAAACTAGTTCTTCTTTAATTTGAAAACCCACAATGATCTTCAGTTTAGGAAAGTTTTCTTCTATTATTTTTTTTGTTCAATTATGATTTCATCTTCAAAAATGCCAGTTGTCTGTGTTGACTTTGTACGTGTTGTCCATTGTATCTTCTTCCTTCCTTACTCGTTTTGTGCTTTGCCTTCATCTCCAAGTTCTAGGAGATGAACTTGAGATGTCTCGAGCTGGTTTACTTTGTCACTACTTTCAATTCTGTGTGGTGATTGGGCTCTTTGCTGCTTTGAGGGGCGAGGAGGGGCCAGGGGGCATTCACTCTTAATTCCTTGATTGTACTTTGTAGATTTTAAGTCTTTCCTGAACTACAGTAGACAGACTCATGGCTTTCCAAATGTGTCCACATCTTAATCCCTCAGACTTGTGAATACACTACCTTATATGGCAAATGGGATTTTGTAGCAGTAATTATATGAATCATATTGATTGGGGGAGAGTATCTTGATTGTCCAGGTGGGTCCAATGTTCCATATTTTTATTTGCATAGACCTGTGCACACCATGCAGCCTCCCAAGCATGATTTTCATAAACTTATTGTGCCAATATTTTCTGCATGTTGCTGATAGCAGTTTCAATATTTTTTCAGTCAAGCCGATTTGATGTTCTGTATTCATCTTGGTGCCTGTTCATGAAGATGTTTGGTTTCCAGCAGGGCACCCTCATCAGACTACTCTCAAATCGCTAAAGCAGGCCCTCTCCCAGCAGGATTCCTCTCCTGCACTGCCAACCACTTTCTCCAGTGCAGGAGGAAACCACTTTTCTGCCCTAGAGACAAACCTTGCCAGGGCGGCTGGTTCCATTCTAGTAGGTAAGCAGGTTTGTGCACCATGGACCATCAAGGTTACTCAAGTGACTGAGGCTGGTGCCCTGCCGTCCTGTGGGTTCTGTTTCACCACTGAGCTAGTAGGTGGACACTCTTGGGCCATTTAAATCTCCCACTGATGCAGATACTGCTCAGTGGGCAAGAGACATAGGCACAGAGGGGTCTCCAGTCCATGGTTCAGATGAAATGGAACCTGCAAGATTGGGGCAGTGTGAGCCTGAACCCGTACTTTCTTCTGTCACTGGCTTCACAAGGGGCTGGCATGGTGAAGGCACACATGGAAAATGGTCCCCCTCTGTCATGGGACTAGCACATGCTTAGGCTTTGGCCGTCCTGAGCACAGCCCTATTCTGACCCTCTGCCATCTCTAGTGTGTCACATCTGGGTGTGGAATGGTTAAAAGAGCTTTACCACTCTTGGGCCCCAGCACAAAATGCCCCAAGAGCAAGCACACTATTTCGATTGTGATGTGACCTGGTCCAGACGTGGACCAGGGCTATATCTGACCTCCCGTGGCTTTACAAGGGATGACACAAATTCATGACCAATTGCCACCAAGCAGAGGTCAGACATGCCTCAACCCTCCCTCCTTTTTGAACCCTATTCTAACGCTGTTTCTCTCATGACACTACTTTTCTGCTGAGATCCATAATTCATTGCAATGGTCACACTGAGCTCACTGACAAAATTCAATTATGGGGGTTATTAGGGACGCTAACAGGTGCAGCCAGTCAAGATCAGTAGCCAGTCATTGGTCCACAACAGATCTCCTCCACCAGGTGCTAAGCCTCTCTTTCCGGTCGTCGGCTTCTCAGGCATGTGGCCCCTTGGCCTCTGCTCTCACGGGCCAGGAAGCCTTCCTGCGGCTCTGTGCCACAGGGATGGTCTCCTTGCCGTGGCCCCTGGTCCCAACCTGGTGCTTTTGCTCAGTTCCATGGTCTCTGTGCCACAGCCCCTGGTGTCATTTGACTTGTCCTCCACTGTTTCAAACAGTGATTTGGAACGTGCTCCACTGGTGCCTCCTCTTCCTTGATGGTCCAGAGAATTCTTTCTCGTGCTGCTTCTGAGATAGCACTCTTACAGGTGCTACGGTTTTTGTTTTTCGGCAGACCACACTCCCAAGGACACAAAAGGTAGTGACTTAGAATCCATCCCACCTTACTCCTGTCACTGGAAACTCCCTCCAAAATAGGTTTATAACCACGAACATAAGGTCTCGAATTTAAAATACATCACAAAAGGGATTATGGGTACAAGGACCATTTGAATTACTTGACTATATCTCACCCCAGTTTCGACAAACTCGATCCATGACTGTTTGATGATGGCTCATACCTCTACTATAGCTCTATCTAACCTTTCCAATCGCTGTTGTCAAGTTGAGCTCATATAATTATTTTTAAAAGCACATTGTTTACGGCAGAAACTCTTTGCAAAACAAGTTAAGCTACTTTTTTAAGATCATTTTTATTGGGGGCTCTTACAGGTCTTAGAACAATCCATACACCAATTGTATCGAGCGTATTTGTACATCTTGTTTGGTTTAAAGAAGACTTCAGGGGATACTTTTGGTTTAAGTGTTAAAGAGGATCCCGGGCGAAGAGTTTCCAGAGCCTTCTTCAAGATCTCCAGGTGAGCAAAACATACCTGAGAGAGAGAAGCTGATCAGCCTCCGGTTTCCTTGCTCTTGTACGGTCTCATCAGTGCCAATGCTTTTAAAAACCTATGAGCAGAAGGGACAGGGGAGATGAGCAAAACACGTGCTGGCACTGAGGCTCACACAGTGACATAAATGCACTCAGTCACAGTTCTTTCTGTGGCGATAGTCCACAAAGGCAGCAGAGATGTGATTTCACCAGGCAACCATTGATGCAAGTAAGCCTCTGGTAATCTAGTGTCTTTCTCAGTAATAGAGAATTTGCTAGTGGGGGTGGGAGTACATGAAATTACCAAACACAATTGCTGTATTATCATTGGCCCTTTGTTACTACTAATAGAAACAATGCCTTTCTCATTCAATTTGCCTCAAGCAAGTACTTATTAAAGCAGAGTCTTAGGCCTTAGAATGATGTTTACTGCTGTAATTATAATGGGTTTCCCTTTTGCAAAGTATATAGTTCAGCTGTTGTATCTCCATGTTATGATCTGTATTATTACGTCAGGATTTCCAGGAAACATCTTATTAGGGAGCATCCTGAACGTGGTATTAACAAGCTTACTCTGAGGTTTCTCTTGCTTAAGTCCCATTTGGGGAAACTTCAACACACAGTGGTTACATGGGTTCTCGGTATTCTATCATGTATTTACAAAGCAGGAGGCTAAAGCATTTTATTTTCAATTATTGCTCAACATATATGCTAGCAAATTAAGTAACCAGAAGAGGTAATAATCCTGTTCCCACTCTCCTTTAAGAACTAGCTGTGGCAGGTTGAATCTGACACCGGGCAGCTCCATGTGCCCAGAGTAGAACTGTTTTCAATAGCATATTCATTGACTGACTCTTTGAAAGCAGACCGCCAGGTGTTGCTTCTGAGCCACGTCCCATTGGATTCAAATCTCCACTGTCTGGTAGTCAGCTCAGCTGTTAACCATTTGCACTGTGCAGGGGCTTCTCCAGGCTCTTCTAAGAAGATTTTACCTAGACTTGATTCAGAATATTTATTTGAAAGCAAATAACTCTTTCTAGTTACCTTTGCATGGATTGCATAAGGTATTTGCGGAAGAAAATTAAGAATTAACTAGGAATCAAATCCCCAGCCTATGTCTACCTTTTAAAAGATCATCTATACTAAAGAAGGGAAAGAAGAAGAAAACATGGTAGCCTCGGGACCAATGCATTGGCCTTGTTCTCTCTCTACTGCTCCGCATTCTTAGTTTTGTGAGAGTTGTGATTGGATATTACATGCACCACAGAACATAGGGCTGCCTCATTTTGGGCCATTCTCATCATCATTGAATAACTGTGATCCATAGGGCTCTCATTGGCTAAGGTTAGCAAGTATATCACCAAGTCCTTCTTCCTAATCTGTATTAGTCTAGAAGTTCGGCTTAAACCTGGGCAGCATCACAGCAACATGCCAACCTCCAATTCCAGACAGGCATTAACTACACGTGAAGGGCATTGGCAAGGAATTGAACCAGGTCTCCCACCTGGCAGGTGAGAATTAAGCCACAGAACCGCCAATATCTTACACATTCTATAACCTACCTTTCAATTCTGCTTAAACATGTGCTGTTGCACTAATTCATGGATAAAGTCATGTAAATTCCAGGCTGAATATATAAAAGTGGAAGCTATCCTTGCCAAGGGGAATAGTTTCCAGAAAATAAAACAAGCTTCCCTACATCTTGATTGGATACTTGAGATGAGCTGCAGGGCAAGGGTCAAAGACAGAAAGAAACCTGCTGCACTCACAGACAGATAGATCCTTCCGGCTTTTGAGAATTTATTTCACACAATTTATTGTTGTTTTCGTGATGATACATTGCAGAAAGCAAACCAATCCAACTCTGTCTACATAGCCAATCCCGTGACACGTAGTCTATTCTTTAAGTTGTACGAGCTTTCTCACCCTGCTTTTCTGAATTGCTCCTTCCCCATTAGCATCAACTCACTGCCCACGAAGTGTCCTTGCCAGTCTTCTGAGTTGCTGTTGTCCCTTGGATTTCATAGAGATAGCTCTTTAAAGCTCATGATGTTCAAGGCAGATAAGCTTTACTACTTGAGCTAACTATTATTTTATTTTAAGAGGCCTTCCAGCTATAATTTGGTTTACATTTTAATGATTATCACAAGGCAATAGCTTCAGTGTCTACTCAGCCTCCATCCACCGTTGTTATTTTCCAGAACTGCAGTGGCTTGCAGGCTGCTGTGATGCCCGAAGCTATGTCACCAGTATTTCCTATGCCAGCAGGGCTACCCCAGGTGAACAGGTTTCAGTGGGGCTTCCAAACGAAGAACAGACTATGAAGAAGGACTAGGCTTGAAGCAGAACGTTGTCAGAGATAGTGCCGGCACATGAGCTCTTCGGGTTGGAACCCACTCAAAATCCAATTGAGGAAAAGCTGCCTCCTCAGAATTGAGCTACTTCAATAGTGTAGGTGTAGAAAAATGTTCGGACCTTCATTTGCTGATGGGATACAATTTAAAGTGAGAAGAAAGAGCTGCAAACACCCATTAATAATAGGAACGTGAAAATATACAAAATATGAATCTAGGAAAATGGAAGTCATAAAAATTGAAATGGAGGGTGGAAGGGTTAAAAAATTGAAATGGAAACCGTAACGCTCAATATCTTAGGCATTAGGAACCCTGGTGGAGTAGTGGTTAAGTGTTGGCCTAAGATCTGCATGGTCAGCAGTTTGAAACCACCAGCTGCTCCACAGGAGAAAGATGGGACTTTCTACTCCCATAAAGAGTTACAGTCTTGGAAACTCACAGGGGCTGTCTACCCTGTCCTATAGAGTTACTATAAGTTGGCATTGACTCGATGGCAGTGAGAGAGAGTCAGCTGAATAGACTGGTATTAGGCACTTTGGAACAATCAAATGGTTTAGAATGCTATCAAATGCAAAGAATGGCAGAATTAAGAGGAATGGCACCATGTTCATTGACAAAAAGAAAGTCTGAAGATCTCTTTTGTAATACAATACTGTCTATGATCAAATAATACCTGCATGTCTACAAGCGACACCAGCTAATACAACTATTCAAATTTAAGCACCAACACAATCAATGTTGAAGAATTGGATAAGTTCTATCAACTTCTTCAATCAGAAGTTGATCACTAATTCAATCAAGATGCATTGGTTAAAAAGAAGACGTATTGATTATTACTGGTGACTGGAATACACATTTGGAAGCAGAGAAGAAGGAACATTAGATGGAAAATGTGGCCTTGATAAGAGGGAAAAAAAGATGGGATCACATAAGTATCGTACATGAAGAAGGAAAAAGGCTACTGAGTTAGTTAGCTTATTGTGCCAACCTTGCTGATAAACACATGTGGAATTAATTGAAGGGTGGAGAGATAAATGGCTCCATGAGCCTCACCTTTCGAGTTCTCGGGTCTCTTGCTTGGTGATGGTCGCACCAGGGTGCAGCTGCCTTAGCCAGTTCCCTGATTCAGCTTGCAAGGCTTACTTCCTGCAAGACATCCCCAAGGAGAAGCTGCATGGACCTACCCCGATGCAGCCCTGGGTGCTGGAGCAGCCATGTGGGGACCCCTGCCAGCGCTGAGATGATTACACATTCACTGACTAGGCTTTCCTCCTGCAGTCGGCATCATAGTGTGTGTTTTGTGAGATGGAGGAGGACTTTGTGGACTGGTGTTGGACATATGGGTTAATGAGTGAATATTGGACTTGTGGGCTTGGGTAGCACTGGGTTGGGATGTTTTCTTGATGCACAGTTAACCTTTATATAAAACTCTCTCTTTTACATGAGTTTCTGTGGATTTGTTTCTCTAAAGTACCCGGACTAATACAGCTACTAAAAAGATAAGAAAGACAGAAAAGATCAAAATGGGTGTCATAAAAAGCTCTGAAACTTGCTCTTGAAATAGACAAACTTAAACAAATAGAATAAATGATGTAGTAAAAGAACTGAATAGGAATTTGCAAAGGGCAGCTCAAGAAAACAAAGTAAAATATTATAATGAAATATGCAAAAACCTATGAGTTAGAAAGTCAACAAGGAAGAACCCACTCAGCATATCTCAAGCTGAAATAACTGAAGCAAAAAATTGAAGTCTAGAGTTGAAGTATTGAAGACTTCTATGGGAAAAAGACTGTGAAGAAAGCATCCAAAGAAGGAGGTAGGAATTACACAAAGTCCCTGTACTAAAAAGAACTAGTCAGCATTCAACTATTTTCAGGAGGTAGCATGTGAGCAAGAACCAATGGTGCTGAAGGACTTCTATGGGAAAAAGACTGTGAAGAAAGCATCCAAAGGAGGTAGGAATTACACAAAGTCCCTGTACTAAAAAGAACTAGTCAGCATTCAACTATTTTCAGGAGGTAGCATGTGAACCAATGGTGCTGAAGGAAGAAGTCAGTCATGCACAGAAGACATCAGTATGAACCAAGGCGACAGAAACTGATGGAATGTTTCAACAAGCTCATTGCTTGTTGTCAGATGCACGCTGGGTGCTAGTAGAGAAGACCAGGAATGTATTTATCTGTGTTTTACTGATCATGTGAACACACTGACTGTGTAGATCATAGCAAACTATGGATAACACTATGAGGGAAGGGAATTCCAGAATATTTTATAGTATTCGTACAGACTTGTCCATGGACCAAGAAGCAGTCATTCAAAGAGCACAAGAAATACTTACTGCCTGGCTTAAAATTAGGAAAGGTATGTGCCAGGGTTGTATACGTTTATCCTTTGACACCGATTCAATCTGCATTTTGAGCAGATCATCAGAGAAGATACATTATATGAAGAAGAATGTGACATTAGAGTTGGAGGAAGGCTTACTAACAACCTTCAAAATGCAGCTGACACTCCTTGCTTGCTACAAGTCAGGAAGCCTTGGCACACTTGTTGAAGAAAATCAGATGGCAGCATTCCATATAGATTACAACTTAATGGACGCAACCAGATCTCGGAAGCCGGAGAAGCCACAGAGAGACCCCTGCCAGCACTGAGATGCTTACAACACCACTGGACCCAAAGACTTTCTACCCACTGGCTTGTGATTGTCCTGCATTTGGCTT